AACACAACACCTAGCATAGTTGCACGTAGTTATATCCTGCTTGCCTCCTTGATACAAAATCACAAAAGCTAGATAATGAGGATTGCTGCTGCTTTCATCAATCTTAATTGAATTATTTTTTCTTGGATAGCTGCATGAGACCCTGTAAAAGTACATGAATGAGCTTGTGTTGTGATCCACTCATTTAATGCAGATTGAATAATAAGCAGTTGATTTGGAACGTAAAGTAACTTTTTGGCATGTAGGCCTAAATTTTAGCAGTTGAAGTTGTAATTCATCGAAATTTATAATATAAGCATGTTGCCAAATGGGAAAAGCTACAGCAAAAACGAGTGACTATCCTATTTTAAGCGGTAGTTAAAAAAAAGTGTTGCTTTGGGACATATATTTATTTGAAGAAGTTTATGTTACTATACCGTCTGTATTCAATATTGATTACACCAAGTGCCAATAGTGATGAGGCTGCATCGGCATTCTGAGCCTTACTCGTCTGCTCAGAATGAAGTCTGTTCGGTCACTTGCACCGTGATCGGTTATGACAGCTGTCACACCTTTGTCTGAACAGTAGTAACTGTTGGTGCACCTGACCTGATTATGCAAGAGGAATAAGCCGCTTTTTTCTTGGACAATTTTATGATTTTTTTTTTTTATTTGTTTTATTTTACCTGGTAACAGGCACCACATCCTACTCCATTTCGGTAGAGTTGCGATGCGGCGGATACATGCCCTCCATTGATTGTTGCACCAAATGTGCCATAGCCACAACTTCCGGCTGCATTTAGTAGAACTTAGAAGTGTAGAATAAATTGATATAAAATAAAAAATTCTGTTAGATTTAGCTGTTTTGTAAAGATGACATCTTTTTTAAGTCATTTTCCATGAGGGGATATGGTCATCTTTCGCCCGACGTGAAATGTATCATTTCATGTTGAAAAACTGTCGTGAAATGGTCATTACCTGACGTGAAACAATAATTTCCATTGGAAATGACTGAAAAAAAAAATGTATTTGAAAAAAAGGTACACACACACACACACATATGTGTATAGGTTTAGAAGAATGGGTACTTTTGACCCATTTGCATTAAACTTGGGAGAAGAATGAAAAACATAACAAGAACATCATATGTCTTTTAAGATTACAAACATGTCCTCATGGTTGTATTTCCTTAACAAATAGCACTCAGTGGATATATAACATAGATACAATTAAAGCCCAGGTTATTTTTGTAGTAAGATTGTTTCCATGTGAATTAAATATTAGTTTTAGCATTCATTTCACTCGAACAACTCTCTACTGACAGAATAAGTTGCAAATATAGAGAAAATCATATGTATGCTTTTTTTTTTTCCTTTTTTTTCAGCTATATTGCTGATATCTCACTTTCTGTCCCTTTATCATCAGAATTCGGGTAGTGAGTAGCCCTTGACTGGATGAAACAATCGGTACATGTGGCAGCATTTCCCGGACGTTCAAAGAGGAGACAAATGGCTACAAGAAAGTTAAAGAAAAACACGAAACTAGCCAGGAAATATGGAAGACGAGCAAAGGGTAAAAAAGGCAATGGAAAAGATGGTTTTGTAATGAATGAACTGGGAATCCATTTTGTCTATTTATAGAATGAAGAAAATTGTGCACAACCGATACAAAGCTCGTAAAACGTCAAACTTTTGACCGATACATGCTGAAAGAAATTAATTTTAATACGATTCTTTTCCTCTGCAAGTGGAAATCCATTTCTTGTTTGTGGTAATGTCAAAACTATAGCCCCACTGTACAGTGTGAATGATGCACTAATATTTCTGATCAAAGCAGGCAACACAAGAATATGTATGTTTTCTCTTTTACAAGTTTGAATTTATGTTTCTACTTTTTGGAAGGTAAGAATCCTGATGTGATTATTACAATTCAAAAACATTGGGTTTTGGCATTATAAGCTGATAACTGGATTTTGTTGAGTATTTGTTGTTAATGTTGAGTGCCTACTCTTGTACTCTGGTTATCGTGCTATACACGAATTGAATGTCTTTGCTTTTATTGTTTGAAAATGCCGTTTTCCTTAATTTTACAAAGTAAATTAACCAAAACTTCCAATATTTGTGATTGAGACGAAATTGCGCTCGCCTTCTTGGAGAAGCATGATCGATTGACGTGTTTAATATAATTATTTATTTCTCTTTATTTCATACCTATTATTATTAGTTATATATTTTAGTTTGGTTCGATGAATATTTATTTATTTAGCCTAATCATTTTCTTGTTACCCGCGGTTTTGTGGGTTTCTATTTATTGGCTTGTTCATTATGGAGAATTAGACAAGTTTATGAATTAAAAATATTGTCTTGAGATTTTATCTCTTGTTTTTTCTTTCGTAGGCTTTCGCTACATCAATTGAAATCAGAGACAGGACAATTCACGATCCCGTCGAAGAGGAATGATACTGCAAACGACAGATGTGACGCAGCCAACGAAGTGCTGGGGTGACAGATCGAGGATCTGACCGCGGACTTCGATCGTCAAATTGCAGATCTGGTCGCATGGATCGAGGACTTCCGATTGGCTCTGCGTACTGCTTTTCATGGAAAGTAAACGAACTGCGCACTGGGCGGAGGACGTGGCGGTTGCGGGAGTATGAATGGTGGACGCAGTCAGGGTACACACGAGGTGCCCCTCCCCCGATCGCCTCAATCGTTTGTCGGTGATAGTGACTTTGACGTCACCATATTCGATGTACGTCCTTTTAGTAATATGACGGCACAGGACGAGGACTACTTCGCCGACAATCAGTGATGGGAGACTTCTTTTCGGGTTGAGATCTCAAAATTCTCTGGCGGCTTGGAAGCCGCCGAGTTCTTGGATGAAAAGGGGTCGACTGAATATGAGGGTCCGCCTCTTTTTTATGACAAGAGGTCGATCGAATATATGGGTCCGCCTATTTTTTATGTCAAGGGGTCGTTATACGAGGTCAATGATGCTGATGAAGTGGACGATTTACATGTGGGCTACAACATCTGGAAGAATTCTGCGACAGATAAGCGTGAGGCCTATTGGAGGTCGGGAGTCTTCTTGGTCTCGGCGTATCCTGAATAGCGGCAACCACGCAAAGGGGTGACAACTCCGACGAAGACGAGATTGGGTCGGATTCGAGGGCGAATCCTTCTCAACTGGGAGTGAATGATAAAGACGAGATCGCGCTCGTCTTCTTGGAGAAGCATGATTGTCTGGCATCTTTAATATAATTAGTTATTTCCTCTTATTTCATTCCTATTATTATTAGTTGCATATTTTAGTTTGGTAGGTGAATATTCATTTATTTAGCCTACTCATTTTTTTTGTTAGGAAAGTTATTTACTTAGGGCTTTGTGGGATTCTATTTATTGACTTCTTCTTCATTATGGAGAATTGGTCAAGTTGATGAATTAAAAATATTGTCTTGACATTTTCTCTTGTGTTTCTTTTCGTACGTTTTCGCTACATAAGTTTGTTAAATTCTTCATGTTGTTGTATGAAATTAAACAACGATAATAAATAGTAGCAGAGTGTAATTAATAGTAAAAATAGTCAAAATTATTGTGTTATTGTTGTCTTTTTAAGAGTACAGGAAGTCGATTTTTGTGTATAACCGAGCTGAGTTTATGTATCCGTGTACAATGTGTGTAAAGGATCCCCGTACAATCATAAATTCTGTTATTTATAGTGCAGTGAGTTTGACTTTTCGTACGAGGTAGATCAGATTGCATTTAATGTTGAGCAGCTTTATTAAAGCGGTTTGTAGTGTAATGAGGGGATAACAATGATTACTTTTTTGATAGGTGGCCCAATTAGGAATGAGCCTTGTTACCAGCTTTGGGATTCAGTCACCTCGGACCTCGGTTTAAGTGGATAACCTTCAGGGAAGAATATTCGCGAAGTCGGTTTTTTGTCTTTTATGAGAAGTCAGTTTATCGCCTTGAGTAGGTCGGTTGTCATCTATATGTGTGAAGTCGGTAATTGTCTCTATTGTAGCACAAATTGCTTTTAAATTACCGAGTACCGAATCGAATGATTCGTTCCCCGGGTCGATCTCTCGAGGAAGGCGGTTTGGAATTTAGGATTGGTGTTGATAGCACAAAAAAGAAAAATAAATCCTAAACATTCTAATCAAAAGATTAGTTTTTGATTCTTAACTAAGAAATAAACTAAAACATAAATCTACCTAAAAATATAAATGACACAAAGATAAATAAGCTAGGGAATCGGAGATAATTAATTCAAGTTTGAAACGTAAAGCCGGACAATTAATCGTTCGGTTCAAGATCGATACTCTCGCTTAAACATCTAGCGGTTCGCTTCCAATAACTCTTCGTAACATGAGATTGAACATAGACGAGCAAGTTCTAGCATACAACACCGGCCAATAATCCAATCCCAATAACTCTTCGTAACATGGGAAGGGACATCAACAAGCGTGTACTTCAATCCAAATCCTATAGACAATACGTCTCCGAACATGTCTACCTCGTACGAACCTAGTTCTACGACTCCTCCCCTATCGGTTCTAAAAGTCGCTAATTCAATTAGAAGGTGTTTAATCAACTAATCATGTAGAATCAACAAACCCTAACTCAACAAATCAACATTCAATCATTCCCAATCACAAAATCGAAGTGTCACTCTTCGATTATATCAATAAATTAACCTAAGTGTCACTCTTAGGTTATATCAAATTTTCAATAAATCAAGAAAGAATTCATCAATTCCTAATCAATTCAACTCGCGCAAGAATGAACAAATTAACGCCCAACAATCACGAATTAAACAAGAACAATCATCCCTTATCCCTAGTAATAGGAATTAGGTAAATGAATAACATTCAATACAATCAACCATTTCACCCCAAGCAATCATTTTCATGAATTAAACAAGAGGAAAACTTACAATCAATCCAAATCCAAGTGTTGAATTCACTTACAAAGCTTAATCCCTAAAATTGAGAAAAAAAGAAAATGAAGAAAAATGGAGAAGAAAGATGGAGAAGAGGAGAAGAGAAGAAAAAGAAGAAGAAGAAGGGAAGGAAAAAAGAAAGTAAAGAAGAAGAAAAATGGAGGAAAGAAGGAGAAGAGAAGAAGAAGAATGGAGGAAAATGAATGGGGGAGGCGATTTTCGGACCTAGGGTTCCTCCCCCAATCGAGCTCGGTGAAGAAGGTGAGAAAAAATGAGTTTTGGGGTTTTTTATACAAGATTGGGTGTTGCAGCAGGTCCTAGCGCCGCTAAGGAGGGCCCTAGCACCGCTAGGGGGTACCTAGCGCCGCTAGAGTCAACAAGGAGCTTCAGAAGCCCGCTAGCACCCCTAGCGCCGCTAGGTGGGGCTGGGTTGCGTGACTTTTCATTTCGGGCTCGTTTGGGCTCGTCCGAACTCAGAATTGAGTTCCGTTTTTTCCTACGCGTCGCTAACGAACCCCTCTATTCAATGATGCTTGAATGGTCAAATTATTCTTGAAATCCAATTCTCTCAAAGCTTATGACCAGCACACCAAAGATGTGCTTCGTGTGACTTCGCGTGACTTCACGTTTTGGGCCCGTTTGGACTCGTCCAAGCTCGAAATTGAGCTCTGGTTCTTCCTATATATCACCAACGAACCCTTTTACGCAACCATGATTGCCCGGTCGATGTTCAGGCTAAATATATTCCTCACGGGTTTCTGACCTGCACACCAATAACGAAGAAAAATCGAAAAAAACACACGAAAACACAAAGGAAACCAAAATAAAGGAAAACACGCTACAAACTACAAAACGCACTAAGAATCAACGAAAAGATCTAAAACGGGGGAAAAAGAATGACAAAACAACAACAAAAAATGCAACAAAAATGGGACAAACAGTTCTTTGCACCGAGGTGGATTAAGTTAGTTGCAGAAGTTAAGTTGGAGAGAGTTCTTGAAAACATAATCAATAAGTTTTCTTTTAATCTTGATAAATCAAGTCGGTTGTCTACAGCTCATATAATATTACAATAAGAAATGTATATTATATTGTGAATGTAGCTATGATATATGATGTGATTTTTTTCCGGTTAGTGGAAAAAAAAGTGAATTCCTAAGCAAACGTTAACAATCAAACCATGAATTGAGGATTGAAAGAGGAAAACATACAACCTGCCGACCTTGTAGTTGGTGGAATATAATAACCAAACAATTTAAGTTTATGAGCTGCAATTTCTCAATCGTCAAAACAGAACAAAGGCATTATATGAAACAATAGTTAGGCAATCTTTCATTAAACAAAAAGTGCAGCCACGTACTTTGAACTCAATTTTCCAAGGGATAAGGAAACCATAAAACAAAAATAAGCATGAATATAAAAATTGTTTACATAATAATGCGCACTAGCATCAACATTTTGAGGGAAGACAATAGGTTCAAAATTGGAAGGCTGACGCCTTGGAATATTGCGATTCCGCCTCAACATAACGGACTCGTGGTTCAAGTTTTGGCTAGCTCTTGAAAATTAGATGAATTGACTCAATTGTTCATACTTGTTTATTACACTTTTTATTTGTTATTATTATATGTAAAAAATTGAATTATTTTCAGTTTGCCATTTTAATATTTTGTCTATAATAAAAATATAGGTAGAAAGTTGCATAAGATGAGTGACCCAATATATATAGAAGTACATATCTGTATTTATATATTAAATAATCAATTCATTAAATATTTAATTTAGACATTAATTTAATTAATCGAAAAGAAATAGAAATCAAATTGATTTGACGTGAGATTTAACATTTGTAGTCATATAATTGATTCAAAATTTATTTGTCAACAATTAGATTGGAACATAAAAAATGTCATTCTCTGTATAAATGCAAGTTTTTTTAATTACGGTGCTTCGTAATCCTATGTACCGATTTCTAGGGATTTAAACTCCCAAGTTTTAGAGTTGTCTATGTAGAAGTGGACTTTTATCCCTGACTTTTATAATTATAAAACACTTAATCAGCTTAAATTATAAATTTATTTTAAATCTTAATAATTTTTTATTTATTATTGATTTTTTACATATGATATATCAAATTAATCACCTTTTGACGATTCGATTTGATATATAGTTCATATAAAAAAAAAATTATATCTACCTTTATAATTTAAAATTAACTTTAATATATTATAATTGGAAAATAATAAAAATATTAGTTATTAATTAAATGAATCTATTAAATGCATTATATGATATCAGTTAGAATAATTATTATAAAATAGGATGAGCTTGCAGTAATGAGTATCATTTCAAATGAAGATAAAAAAAATAATTTTAAGAAATTTAAATAAAACCTTTTTCGCTAAATGAGTACTCCATTTGTTTAATACAATAAATGCAATATAAACACAAAACCAAGCAATTTAATTTATAATAAATGAATTAGGAGATTTTACATAAATATAATAGTCCTCTATGTAAATTTCGCTAAGGAGCAAGTGAAATATCGGTCCGACACGCATATATAGCAATGCTAAAAGCAGTCGCTCTTAAACAATACGCACATCCCTTAAATTAAGGGCGTTACTATTCACCGCCCCCCATATTACTAGTCACCGCCTTCCTTGGACAATTTTGCCCTTCTCATTTTTTCTAAACATCTCAGAGGAAAGTGTACGGTGAAATGTCGTCAAATTCGGAGGTACGAAAAAATACGTGTACGGTCGCCGGTTCCGGACGGACTAAAAGCCGTCCGGACGCCGGAACCGGACGGTCCTTAAACCGTCCGGAATGGCCGGCCGGACGACGTCAAAACCGGCCGGAAAGCACGGCCGGATGGACGGCTGCCGTCCGAACCGTCCGGAAACGACGGCCGGTCGGAACCGGTCCGTCCGGTTCGGCCGGCCGGCCGGATTTTTTTTTTTTTTTTTTTTTTTTTTTAAATTGTTATGTTATTTATTCGAAATAGTTATGTTATAAATTGGACTATATTATTATGTTAGAAATTTATTATGTTACATTTTAGACTTCATTATGCTATTAATTGGACGTTTATCGTGTTATGAGTTACAAATTATTATGTTACATGTTGATTATAATATAAATTGGACGTTTAGATATTATCGTGTTACGAGTTAGAAATTATTACATTATATATTAGTTTTAGTTATGTTATAAATTGACGTTTACATATTATCGTGATCGTATTAGGAGTTACAAATTATATTAATTGAACGTTAGATAATATCATGTTACGAGTTACAAATTATTATGTTACATCCTAGAATTAATTATCTTAATTTAACATGTTCTAAAAATTGTACTATATAGCAGGATTCATGGGAAGATTTTGGAGGAGATGGTGTTGATTACAGTGAGCGTTTCGATACATATTCATTCTATAGTAGTGCTCAGGAGGCTATTGAAGCTGCAAAACACCAGGCAATGCTGAATGGTTTCCTATTAATTATTTCGAGCCACAAAAAGAAAACGGTCAGAGTTTTGAAGTGTCATAGAGGCGAACGGTACAGAGGCACAGGCGGAAATTCTAGAAGGACAAAAACGAATAAGTGCGGTTG